ACTCCACATCTAAGGGGTATTTGGGGAGACGGGCAGCGTCCCATCCCATGGTACAAGGGGTACTCACAGTGCAGGACAGTGTCTCTGATCTGCCTGAAGCTGTTCTCCTTGAGCACCGTGGAGATGTAGTAAAGATTTCGCAGCTCCCTGGGGTAGTCCTTCCTGTCGATGTCCTTCAGCACGGGGATGGTGCGCCCATTGGCCATCGGGGCCTCAGCCAGCGCCTGGTGCATCTGGTACTTGCACCAGGGGTCCTGGAGAAAGCTGGGGGTGATGAGCATCACCCAGCAGTGGCTGTTCTGCACGGCGTCGCACAGCTCCGTCATGATGGCACTGCCTGCCACGGCGTCCCGCAGCTGGAGGAAGCAGCGGAAGCTCTGGGGCTGGCTCTCCAAGTAGGACACCAGCTCCTCCACAAACTCCAGGTCCACCTCACTGTGGCAGATGCACACGTCGTAGCTCTTGGCCCAGCGGGCACTGCCCGAGCTGCTGATGTCCACTGCTGCCGGGCGGCCAGCCCGAGGCATGGCAGTGCCGGCGGAGGAGCTGGAGCTCCTGGCTGAAGAGGAGGAGGAGGGTGATGAGGAAGCCGAACACCCGGTGCTGGCATTCTGACTGCTCCCCGTGCAGCTGGAGCTCTGCCTGGGCTTCTGCAGGAGCCGCCTAAACCACCCTGTGGAGGCAGGGGGACAGTGGGAAGGTTCTTGGCGGGGAAATCTCAGAGCTGTGCCAGACCTCAAGCCTGTCACAAAAAAGCCACCCTGAACCCCAAGCTGCATCCCCCGAGCAGCCCTTTGCCTTGCGCCCCTAAGCACTCGGCTCTTGTTGAAGTCTGGATGCTCTCACATCGATCAGACACCCGACTGCCGGGCTCCAGGCATCCCCACGTTTTGCCGGAGAGCCACGGGGCTTCTTCCCCACTTCTCCTCACCCACGGCAGAGCAGCGAAGCCTCCGCCAGGCCAGCAGACACAGACAGGGCTGCTTCTCCCCCAGCTCCCCCCGTCCCAGCAAAGTGACCAAAACCCACACTCACCAGCCATAACAGGCAGCGTGCCGCTCAGCCGCCGATCTCCCGCATGAAACCTCTCCTGCAGGCAGAAACGGGGCAGGGGGAAAAAGCACAATGCACCCAGGGATGCTCAGCTTGGTGGCACCCCACAATGGTGCAGCCGTTGGGGGGCTCATCCCCCAAGCACGCAGGGCTGCTCTCGTGCTGGAATGGAGCCACAGCACCCGCCCCAGGGAGCCAATTCCCCTAAACACACTTTAGCGAAAGGAACAGAGGAACAGACTCACTTCCCCTTGTGCTCAGCACAGGCTGCACACGGGTGCCTCACCACAACCTGGGGGATCGGGTGGGGAAAGGGGGCTTGGGGAAGGGCACATTGCCGGGGCAGCTGCCAGTCAGCTGGATTTATCACCCCAAACTCCTTGCTGCAGGACGAGGAGCAGGGGAGCCCCAGTTTTTGGCTCCCCACCTGCCACTGACGTGTGCCGTAGCAACGCGTTGGCGTTGCCCAATGCTTCCGCGCCTGCGCTGTGTGACCTGGCCAGGCTGCAGCTTCAAGCCGAGCCTTCCTAGAAAACAGCAGCACCGCTCCCTGTGGGCACTGAGCCCCCGCAGGGACAGACCCCACGCTCACCCCAAATTTCCCACAGAGCAACACTTTGGACCTTACCCCCAGACATGCCTTTAAGCAGTGTCCCTTTGAGCTCTCGTGACTGCCCCCCCCCCAGCTCTGCCCTCCCAGTGCTTTGCTCCCTGAGCACCGCATTTTGGGACCCTCCTTGGGCAAGACCCTCACCTGCAGTGCGCGATGCCAAGAGCTGAGGGGTGGCAGAGACCCTCATTCCCGGAGTGGGGCCAGACAGAGTCTGAGGATGGGAAAGGATCCTGTAGGGACAGGAGAAGAGGGGATCAGCCCCCACATGCCCCTCGAACAGCAGCGCTGCTCTCTGCGGTCTGCATCTGTGCACCCTCAGTGATGCTCAGCCCAGCACCTCGTGCCTGATGGGTGCTTCCCCCCCCCAAAAAAAAAAAAATGAATGTGGCGGCTCCCTGTGCCCATTGGGCACAAGGTGAGGATGAAAACCAGGGGAGGGCTCCGGGGCTCACCCACAGCGACCCAGGCAAGGGGCACGCTGCTGTGCACGCGAGCAGCAGCCAGAAGAGGTGGACAAGCACGAGGAGCCAGCGTGCTCCTGCTTGTTTCAACACCTCCCCTCTGCAGTTTTCCATGCTTGCATCACCTCTTCCGAAATAAAGCACCCTGAGTCACGCCAGAGCCTTTCACCCCAAAAAAAGGAGTACAGCATTGGGTGAGCACCGGCAAAGCCCACGGTCCCACGAGCGACCCAGCAGCAGCGGTGCAGCACGCACCACCTCGCCCACGGAAACCACACTCCCCAGGCAAGCCCCTGCTTAGTAATAGCAAGATAAGTGTGAGCACAGCTTCAGAGAGCAGCCTGCAAACGGCTCAGCGGGGCCAGGAGCTGGGGACACCCACCTGGGATGCAGCAGACAGACACCGGCACAGGGAAGGGGGATACATCAGCCCCGGGCCGGCAGCATGGCCTGCGGCAGGCAGCAGGATCACCTAGGTGGGAAAGGAGCAGTCAGGTAGGGCACGTTCACTCTGGAGCCTAATGGGATCCACCGCCAACAGCGAGGCTGGGTGATCCCTGCAGCTTCCTCCTCGCCCCTCTGTGGTCCCCTCCGCCCCGAGGGGGGCACGGGGGCACCCACGGGCAGCGTGGATGAGCTGCCCCGTCCCTCCGGGGCCCGCTGTGGGGCTGGGGCGCCGCTGCCGAGCGGAGCAGCCGGTGGCTCAGGTGCGGAAGCGGAGGCAGGGGAAGTCGGCAGCGATCCTTGGCCAGGAGGCCAGCCCTCCCCGGGGCCTCCCTCCCTCCCACATCCGCCACGGGGCCATCCCTGCCAGCACAGTCACAGGCGAGGACGGTGCCTCGGGGCTGGCAGCCAGCCTCCATCCCCCTGCACATCCCCCAGGGACCCCAGTTTCCCCAGTCCCCCTTCTCCTGTCCCTGGCTCCAAGCGCCAAAAAATGGCGTGGCCAGACAGACGTGAGCTCAGGCATGTTTTTTCTTGCCTGACATCAGGTTTTGTAATCGTTTGCCTCAAGGAACATGAATTGTTGGGGGGGGGGGAAACCCCCATCTTCACCCTGGACCCCACACACTGCCACCAGCACCTCTGGGGTGAGCGTGTGCTGGTTTCACCCTCAGCATCACCACAACAGCCCTGCAGGAGCTCAGCAGCTCTGATGCCGTTCATCCTGGAGCAGGATGAGGGACACTGAGCACACCCCATCCCCTGGGGCTGCTGCACCCCCTCAGCAGCAACCACTCAGCCCCTACCTCAAATTCAGGCACCTGTCAGCTGGGATCTTCTGGTGGAGCCTGGAAGGGGGGGGTGAGGAGCCGTGCTTGGGGGATTTTTTGCCTTTCTACTTGCAAAGCAACCCAGGAGTGGGTGAGCAGGGGGGTGGTCAGGGCCAGCCCCCGTTGCCCCCCCATACCCTCCCAGTTACGCTTTCTGCAAGAGCGTACAATCAGCAGGCACAACGCCCACCGGGTGAGTGGGGCAGCCCTGAGCCACTGCCCCGTGCAGTAGGAAATACCTCCCTGTCCCCAAGGGCTTCCCCACCACACAGCCACCAGCCCCAGGAGGCCGCATGGGCACCCCCCTGCCCCTCACACCGCGGCTTGGGGTAACAGCGCTTCGCTCAGCCCTGCTCCTGCTGAACGCTCATCAGGCTTCTGACATCGAGTCGGTGCCTGCTGGGATTCCTCAAAGAGGAAAAGAGGTCGTAAAACAGCACTTTATCCATCACTATCTTTTTTTTTTTTTTTTCTTCCTCAAAAAATGACCAACAACAACCACCACCACCACGAGTTCAAAATGAGAATTTTCCATTCCTTTATGTATGGAATAACCCAAGTCAGAGGCTATTCAGCTCAGAAGTATCTTGAAAAATATTTTCCAGTATTCTAAACAGCGCTTTTCAGCAAAACTTTAAAAATAACGATACTAAAAACGCGGTCAATCGAACGTGACTTGGGAGCGGTGGTTTCACGGGAGCGGTGGTTTCACGGCAGCTGCCACCCCATCGCGGGGAGGGGAGGCCCTGCCCCGGGGCACGGTGAGTCACGGGCTGCCGTGAGCCGGCCCCACCGGCACGCCCCGAGCACCGGCACGCCCCGAGCAGCACCCGGCACCCGCGGGGCGGCCCTGGGGCCGAGCGAAGTCCCCAGGAACCGGCAGGTGCCAGCCTGCAGACCGGCCCCTTTCAGCTCCCTCCCCCGGCACGGCCTCCAGGGAGAGCCCCGGGGGCCTCCCCGCAGATTTTTCCCCCCGCCCCACCCGGTCCCAGCTCCCTCATGCGGGCAGGCACAGGAGCGAACCTCCCCGCACCGTGCCCAGAGCCCAAATGCTGTGCGCATGCGCACGCGCCTTTTATACCTTCTCGAAGTCTCGTGAGAACAAAGCTAATTCTCACGCACGCGCCCCCTTCCCTCCCTCCCTCCAGGAGCAAAGCCCCGCCCTCTTTCCCTACGAGCCAATGGCGTGGCGGCTGGCGAAGGGGGCGGGCCAATCGCTTTCCGTTCTCCCACCCACAGCCCGCCGGGGGCGGGGCCTCGGGGCGCCTGCGCGGGGCTTGGCGGCGGCCGGGCCGGGCCGGGCGTCTCTTGATGGGGCCGGGGGCGCGCGCGAGGATGGGGAGGGGGCGCTGAGGGAAGCCCGGGGCCGCCATGGCGAGGGGGGGACGGGAGGGGATCTGAGGGGATGGGGGGGTCCTGAGGGGATGGGGGGGTGGATCTGAGAAGATCTGAGGCGACCTCAGGGGGTCCTGAGGGGACCGAGGGGGTCCTGAGGGGATGGGGGGGGTGGATCTGAGGGGATCTGAGGGGACCAGAGGGATCCTAAGGGGCCGGGGGGGGCAACCTGAGGGGCTGGGGGGGTTCTGAGAGGATCTGAGGGGACCAGAGGGGGTCCTGAGGGGCTGGGAGGGAGATCTGAGGGGATCTGAGGGGGCTGGGGGGGAAACTGAGGGAACATGAGGAGACCTGAGGGGCCAGGGGGATCCTGGTGCCGCACCTCAGCCGCCCTGCTCTGGGAGCCTCCCCCCCCCCCCCCCAGCGTGTTTTGTTTTTTTATTTGTTTTTCTTCCAGTGTTTCCCCCGAAAACGCTGCAGGGTGGCCACCCGCTGAAAAGAACTTCTCCCTTTCCTTTCCCCGCAGGTGTAGCAGAGGCGGCTGGCGGCGAGGAGGGGGCGACTCAGGAGGGAAGGTGAGGCGGCTGCCGGGGGGCTCTGCGGCAGGGCGAGCCCCAGCCCCGAGGTGGGTCCTGCCCGGTTAGGAGGGAGCTCAAAGCCCACCCAGTCCCACCCCGTCCCACAGGCAGCAACAGGGACACCTCCTCTCAGCCCAGGGTGCCCCCAGCCCCATCCAGCCTGGCCTTGGGCACAGCCACAAGATGGGGAGCCTGTGTCTGAACACCTTTGTCTGGAGCCCAGCAGCCTATGGGATCAGCCTCTGATACCACGCTTTGACGTGGTATCAGTGGAGGTAGAGGGCTGCGTTCGTGCATCGGTGCAAGCAGAGCAGGGTTTGTTCTGTTTGCTTGGCAGGTCCCCCTTAAACCTGCAGTCTGACCCTGCCATGGGTGTCAGAAGGAAAGGAAGGGTTTCGTGAGCCTGCTGCAGCTGCAGCTCTTGTGTGGAAGGGCAGTGCTCAGGAATCAGCCAAGGACAGCTTGTTGACTTCCTTCTGGGTTCTCCTACCTGAAATTTGGCAAGTTTTAAACTATTAATATTTGCCTTATTCCCAACATCTTAAAGCAGCTTAATTTAAAAAGCAGTTCTGAATTGGGCCCCCGCTGGTGGCTCTCAAAGGAGCTAAAAATAATAGATGAGCAGAGAATTTGTACTTGCTTCGCTATCTAATGAGCTCTGTACTTTGAGCGTTTCCACTGGATTAATACGTGGATGTTGCAGTGCTGGAGTTCTGAGCCCATGACAGATGCAGGGCTGGCAGGCATGTGGGGCATGCCCATCGAAGGAGCGAGATGTGCTCCATGCTTCTGCTTGTGCTGCTGGTGGCTGAGCTCAGCCAAAAACATTGGAGGGATCCTGCTTTACCCTGCACCTTCGCTGCCACAAACTCACCCTTTCAATCTCTAGAAATTGATAGGAAGTGATTGGTTATATCTCATGGTGTTAAAATACCGTTAATCAGCAGTCAGCAGGGCTCTGTGTGTTTGTATCTTGTAAGCTGTGTACAGCAGCACCTGGAGGGGATGCCACCCAGCATGATTCTGTCACGGAACAGCTCCTCACCGAGTTGGAAGCACAATTTTTTATTTTTGTATTTCCTTAAACTTTAAATATTCAGGTGCTCTAGTGTGCAAGTGTAGCCTGACTTGTGTACTGGCTGCTGAGCGTGCAGCCAAACAGAGGGCATCCACAGCCCATCCTGTAGGTGATGCGTGCGGAGAGAAAGTGCCTCATAAATCTTCCAGGGTGGCTCTGTGCCCAGGGGCCGGACACTGAGCAGTGACATCGAGCAACGTAGTCTCTCCCGATCTACTTGTTTGATAGAGTTATCGCAGGCTTTTTGTGAATACATGCCCTGTGAATGTCAGCATTCATTTGGCATATCCTCTGCTTAGGCGTTTGGTTTTAGCTTAGCTAGGTCTTTGTGTTTCATGTGTTTCACAGCTGCCTCCTTGGATGTGTCTTTGTATTAAGCATGGAATTGTTGTCGTTAAAGCTTCTTCTGTGGAAGAAAGTTTGTTCAGTGCTGGCAACTTGCGTATCATTTGAAGATAACAGTTCCTTGGGAAAATCTGTTTTGGGAGCATAGAGCATCAATTCAGTGTTCATTATGGTCCTTTGTTTCCAAATTAAAAGTAGGAAGTGACATACCGTCTCTCTTTTTCCCTTAACTGTTTTTCCTTGCCTTCTGTTCCGCTATTTTGCTTTTAGCGATGAATCAGCAGACTCATTCTTACAGTCAGCAGGAGCTAGCTGTACCTCCGAGGCTTTAAGGTAAATTAACAAATTTCCTAGGTGTGGAGGGGGAGGGAGAGCCGAGGGCGGTGTTCGTGCTCTCTCCAGCTTACTGTAGTCTAAGTACCTGGAGAGCTCTGCACATTTCAAGGAGGAAGCTGGAGGAGTGCTTCATGTCTTGCAAGATCCTGTCTCTGTCTTCTTCGTGGGACGCTCACGGCACAGTCGGTCACTGCCAAGTGCTCTGTGCAGGATTTTCCACACAGCAGTGGTGCCGTGCTCTAAGATAATGCTATTTAATTTTAGTTACTTTGGCCAGAACGTGTTTGTGCTTGCGTGATCTGTCCCCCTGGAGAGCAGACCTTTTCCCAGGCTGCAAATCCAGAGATTTATATTTCCTGGCTGAATTTCCAAGACTTGATCTTGAGAGAAATAATCTGTAGCTAGGAAGAGCTTTACTGTTGTTAAAGCTCTGAACAAACTGCACTTCTTTGGAGATAGGAGAAGCCCAGACATTATTTGCAGGGTTTTTTTTGTTTGTTTGTTTTTCTTTTTGGTTATTTGCAGTAAGTCGAGACGAAAATTGAAGTTCATATTAGGAAGCTAATTCTTGGTAACTCTAAGGGATGTTTTTTCCTAAGTTCAAAATGACTTTTAAAATGCCCTTAATGCTTAAAAATTAAGCTTAAAACACTTAAAAATTAAGCTGCCTTGTGCTGTTCCAAATACTGCATATGTGTAAGAGGAGCAAAACGAAAGCGGTGTTGGGGCAAGGGGTTAGCCAGTTTGTGAGTAAGCAAAACATGGGGCAGCCCGGGTAGGGATTTATAGATAGGCTTGGTTTTGGAGTCTCTGAGAACAGATAATTTGCAGTGTAAGGCCAATATAAAGGTAAATTACATCTGTAAACCAAAGCAGTTGAGGAACTGGTATTTTGGGGAGGATTTTACCCTTGGCTGTTACGTATCCTGCCTAGGAGAGAAGTGAGGGCAAACCCAGGCAGCGCTGGGAGCTCTGTGTGCTGCTTTGTACAAACTTCCTTAAACATTCAAGCTAATGCCAGGTCTGTGCTTTAGCCCCTAGCTCATCTGAAATGTTTGCTCTTTCTTTACACCGTTAATTAAAACCGGTCTGGCTTTGTGGAGCAATCTGTCCTTCCGGAAGAATCTCCTAAGCAAAACAGAGACCTTTCCCTCCTGATGGGGCTTTTTCCCTTAAATGTTTTGTGTCCTGCCCTGGCTGCCTCCGCTCGGGGTGAGCTTGATGTCACTGCCTGTCTGACCATCTGACTGAGCAGTGCCAGTGTGCGTGGTCCCCGCTTCCTTCCTCCTGCCCACCAGGCAGCACCGCTCAGAGCGTGGGCTTTCCTGGCAGCTGCACCCCGAAATAGTTCCCTGCAGGGCCTGATGGCTGCACGAGGTAGTGTCTGGGGGGCACATGGGGTGAACAGGAGGAGACAGCCTCTGATCGGAGTTCTGGAACAGCGTAAAAGTGCAGTCAGGCTCTGCCACAGGTTTAACGCAGGGTACAATGTTCAAAAGGGTGTGTGGTGGAGGAGCTCGCAAGAGTAGGGTGTGTAAGCCCAGCTGGCTGGAGCCTGACTCCTCACTTGCTAAGTGCTTTTTAAAAGTTTGATCTTAAATCTGAGCTTTAAAGTAAAATACAAGTGATTATTGAGGTGGCCGGCAGCGTGTGCAGTTTCAGAGGCAGAGTGGCACGCCTGGCTCTCCAGCTCCCCTCTGCCAGGCATTCCCGTGCGGTGCAGGTTTTCAGAAGGGGTGAGAAACGGGAGGCCAGCGAGCACGCTGCCAGCACCGCTCCTGTGAGCGTCGGCGTGTCCCGTTCTCGTTATCCAGTGTGGAAAGATGAGTTATCGAGGTGAGTGGGACAATCTCCTAAATGATTCCTGCTCACGCTTACAGCCTAGCTGAGGTTTCATACCTGTGTAGAGTTTTCCTGTGCATTACGTCTGAGTGCTGCAGCTTTGCCCCTGGAGCTGGTGAAGAGACTGCAGGTGCCTCATGTGTAGAACAAACGCTCGATTCTCACTGTGGCTGCACGACAGCGAGAGGCTGCAGTACCTGGACAAGGCTGGCACTGCAGGCCAGTTGCTTTTGTATGTTTACATTTGGCAAAAGCCTGCCGTTGGCTTAACAGAAACCAGAATTGTTGTTGGACTCGTCATTGCAATTGGCAAGAACAATAGATAAGGGTGAATAGATCTCTCTGTTTTCTTTCCATTTTAATAGACTTATTTTGGAGAAGCAAGTGGGAGAGGAACATTTGCTGGCAGGCCCTTTGTATTTTATGTAATGGGCTATTGAAAGAGTTCTTGGGGATGTAACTTCCTTTCTGTCGGCTTTAAGGTCAGATCCCACCACGTCTAGCTGTACGGTGGGCTGGATAATCCTTCCCTCATCGCTGGAGAATGAAGTCCTCTCAGTAGCCTTTTGTAGCCAACACAAATCCTGTGCTCCTTCCCTCCTGCTGGTTCTGAAGCAGCGAGTTCTCCAGCACACAGCATCTCGGAAGGGGGCCAGTGCCGCTGCAGGGTGCAGGCCATCAGACAGAGGAGAATGGCCGAGGCGAAACAAAGGCTGTGGCACACGGTCAGCCTCCTTTGTACCCGTGATGGCAGGGCCCTGCAGTGTGCCAGAGGTGTCGCCCCTCCATGCTCCGAGGGGCGGTGGCACGCTGCCCGTGAGACGGCTCTGGCACCCTGCGGACAGATCAGGCAGGCGGTCTCACCAAACCTGGTCATAAAAGAAGCCAAGGAGGCGGACGAGAGCCATCGTGCAAAGTGCAAAACCAAGGAAGTGCGATTCTTGGCCCAAAGGTGGTGTCATAAAGATAACAAAGCTAGGTGTTTACCTGCCCGTTCCAAGCTGGCCGAACAAAAACCTGTGCTGTGTTCCACGTTGTGTTGTATGCATGTGGTGACTTTGCTTGTGGTGATTTGTCTACTATAGAAACTGGATGGCTTCTACGGTGAGCCTGGGTAAAGACACATTATTGGAAGATGGAATGCCACCTGCAAAAAAGCCCAGGTAAATTTAACTACACTCCAGTGAATTTCTTCTCATAAGAGCTTTTTCTGTAATCTTGCATCATTCTTGAAAGAGAATGACATTTGGCACAAAGCTTTAGCAGTCGTTCCAGTTGCTGATCCGAGAGCTGTGTGCTGTCTCTAGCCCTGCCCTCTGACAAGTGTTTTCCTGTCCTGTGTGGAACAAAGGCCTTAATGCCAAGCATGTACCAAAGAATTGCTTTGCTGCTGGTTTTCTTAACCCCTAAGTCAGGATGCATGGTTGCAGAGAAAGCTTGCTTTTACTGCACTGTCTCTGTGGTTTTGTTTGGTGTTAACCCTCACTCAGGTGCTGCCCACCCCTAGCACCAGGCCTGTTGTGGCAGTTGTGCTTCTGCACTCCGCCTGGATGGTGGCTCCGAGGAGGACTGGCAGTTATTGAAATTACTTTGACTTTGCTGCACGTGAGGGCTAAATAATTCCCCTCTCGAGGCTGCCTGTGCTGTTAAGTAGGTCATCTTGCAGTCCTCTGCGTGGGGTCTGCTTCATTTTCAGCATGGCACTAACTCTGCGCATACCTCCACTTCTCTCCAGCCAAGGTTGTTACTGTGGCTGCTGTGATGGGCTTAGCTCTGGAATTAAGACCTGCATCATTGCATACCTGCGTGGACACTTGCAAAGGAGAAGCTGATTCATCTAGGGAGTTGTCTTCCACTCACCTGATGTATTTATTGGTTCTGGAGGGCTGGAATACGCTTTCTGTCTCTTCTGGCCTTCGTCTCCAGTTTGACCCAGCGAATGAAATGAGCAGGAGAGGCTGGGTGGATTTTTGTCCTTGCTCAGGACATCACGAGTCTATTTGTCAGTGCAGGAAAAGAATGTCTCTTCTTGGGTATTTGTTTGGCTTTCAGCACCTAAGTTTCTAGTTGTGTTTCTATAGTAGCTCATTAGCACTAATACTGTTCGGAGGTGAGACTTGCAGTCCCCAAACAAACCCACTAAATCTAGAACTGGTTTGCAGCAGCTAACAGTGAAGTCCTTCTGAAGAAAAGGTTAACTCATTTGTTTTCTTAGGCAGTAGAGGAGAAAAGGCAAAGCTCCATCTGTGTGGTGTCTGTTTCCTTTCCCATTCTTGCAGAGGATCACATGTTTGCAGATAAAAGCAGTCCTTCCAAGCCAGCTGCCTCCCCAGGCTGCTGCTTTGCTCAAGGCTGAGGTTCTCTGGGAAGCTGCAGTCCCTCGCTGCTTCACAAAAGCAGCTTGCCGCCAGGCTGCCTTTAGGCACAGCAGCATGGGGAGAAGTATATCCACTTCAGGAAAGTTTGATAACATCAAATTTAAAAGCACAGTGCAGGTGTAAAGCCAGGAACAAGGAAGAGGGGAAGAGGAGCAGATAAGGAGCATATAGCCAGACAGCTCTTTGATTAGACTCTTGTTATGATGTGGCCTTGTAAAAGATTGGCCTTGAGTGTCCTGCTGACATTGAAAACATAACAGGCAAGGGATTTCTGGCACTGCGACACCCAGGCTTAGCAGCCTTCTCAGCAAAGAGGGTTGGGGTGTGGGAAGGGCCTTTCCAGGGCAGAGCACTGGGAGGAAGCCCCCACTTCCTTCTTTTTTGTGCTGCTCTAAAGAGGGCTGCTGTCTTCAGCCCCCCCTTGGCCCCTGTCACTTAAAGGCAGAGCAAGCTTTGTGGTGTCGGACACCTGTTTGGTCCAGGCACAGTCACGGCTGTGTTCACTCCTCTCACAGGGCTCTGATGTGTGCTTTCCTGATGCAGGACGAGGCCTTAAACTGCCCCGTGTGTTAAAAGTGCCCCTACATCGACGAGTAACTTTCTCTGTTGCTCACTGCATCTTTTCCAGTGTCTCCATCTTTTCTGTTAGCTTCCAGTTACTGTCATTCACAAGACTTGTGGCCCTCCTGTCCTGCAAAATTCAAGTAACTCAGCTGTGCAGCCTTGGCCTTCCCTGTAAGGTCGCACTTCCACACTGCGTAGCCGTCCGTGAGCATCTGATACCGACCTGTGGAGCTGGGCTCTGCCTTTAGGGGACACCGAGTTGCCTCTCTTCTGTTTATTGGAGAACCCTAGTGGATATGTTGATGCAAAATTTAGGCAGTCTTGTTCTTGGTCTGCATGTGCTGTGACCCAGGACATCCTTTTTTGTATGATGCTGCCAGCTGTGCTGCTTTCCCCTCTTGCAGGAAGCTGCTGCCAAGCCTAAAAACCAAGAAGCCTCGGGAGCTTGTTCTGGTGATTGGGACAGGAATTAGCGCAGCGGTCGCTCCCCAAGTCCCAGCACTGAAGTCTTGGAAGGGGTTAATCCAGGCCCTCCTGGATGCTGCTATTGACTTTGATCTTCTGGAAGATGAAGAGAGCAAAAGGTTTCAGAAGTGTCTCCATGAGGACAAGAACTTGGTTCACGTTGCCCATGACCTCATCCAAAAGCTGTCTCCGGTGAGTGTGCTTTAGAGCAGGGTACATAAATGTCTCATTTTCCTACGCCTGTCATAGGAATTGGCTTTTGGAAATCCATCAGTCCTCTGGCAAGTACCGTATGTGCAAGGAACTGAGCAAGGGCAGTTACTGCACTGGGTTCCTGGGACGGTGTTTTGGGCCTGATGACTCTGAGCCAGATCTGCATTTGCATGGCCGATGCACTGTCAGGAGCAAACAGGAGCACAGAGGCATCTGTGTGTCCCCTTAAATAGCCATGTGCCCTCCTGTGCCTGCTTAAGTCTCGTTGTCCGGCTCTGTGCTTACCAGCTTCTGGATATTTGATGATGAGCATGCCAGGGAGCCTCCAGAGGGCAAGAGGAAATCCCACTGTTCAGCTGTGGAGAGTGACGCTCCTGTATTTCTGACCTCCACAGCTGAGCTGTGTTGATGAGTCTGGATGGAGCAGTGCCCTGATGAATGTCTCTTTTCAAACATTCCCATGGTCTTGCTTTTCAACCTGAAGAAAAAAATCTGATAGAAGTGCCCTGTGTTTGCCTTGCAAGGCCCTCTAGCTTTGCAGAGTTCTTCAAGAAACGTGGGGAGTTTTTGTGTATTCATTTGGCATGAAACACTAAAAGAAACCAGGCTCTGATCTTAATCTCTCTCTGCTTCTCAGCGCACAAGCAATGTTCGCTCAACATTTTTCAAAGACTGTTTATACGAGGTGTTTGATGACCTGGAATCCAAAATGGAAGATTCTGGCAAACAGCTGCTTCAGTCTGTGCTTCACTTAATGGAAAATGGGGCACTCGTGTTAACCACAAACTTTGATAACCTGCTGGAACTGTATGCGGTGCACCAGGGGAAGCATCTGGAGTCTCTTGACCTGACGGATGAAAAGAAGGTAAAAGATGATGATTCTTTCTGATGTCAGGACTGAGCTGGGACAGCACAGGACAGCACAGCTGCGGGGCGTGCTGTTATGCCCGTGTAAGGGGATTGTGCTGTTCGTGGGAATTTACATGATGTTAGACGAACTCCATATAGAGACTCTGACAGCTGGGGGCAGCGAGCAGAGGCATGAAGATGCTGGCTTGTTTCTGAAGTGCTGCGCTTATTGGCTGACATCCATTGCTCAGGAGGAGCCTTTGAGCCCTTCTTTGATCTCTGTCCTTGAAACTTGTGGCTTGGCCTTGCTGAAGTATCGCAAGCCTTGCTTCCACATAAGGCTCGGACTGACAGTTCTGACTGACCCAGGAACCCTGAGCGAGAAACAAAGCCGGCCTGTCTATTTTGGTCATTTTCTGATGAGTGCTTGTTGTGGTAGCATTCTCAGGGCTCTAAGCAAGTGAGACAGCTCCTGGGTGCTTTCATCCTCCCCTGTCCCTCCTACTCTCCCTGCTCTTCCCAAAATGGCCAAGTGGCTCCGTGTGGGACAACTCCCTGTGCTGCAGCTTGTGCTGCCGCATTTGTAGCTGCTCGCCTCGGACAAACCTCCCTCCTTACCAGCAGCCCCAGGCCTGCAGTCAGGCAGAAAATCAGAGCGTGGCACAGCACAGCCCGCGCTCCCCCCCGCCTGCCCACCTCATCTTCACACCGCGGGCTTTCTTCGTGGAGAGCACGGTGTCTTTGTTTGTTGCACATGCACCGTGTGGGTGCTGTGAAGTACTTCGTCTCTTTCCATTCTGACTCATTTCTGTGCTTCACGTTTCCTCTGTGACCTCTTAATCTACATGGCTGGAAGTACTTCCAGCGATACAAATAAGCATTCTAATTATTGCAAGCTTAAATGAACGGCAGTCTGTAGGAGTAAACTGAGAGCCTAGGAAGTGGCTTTCTGGAATGAAGGTCAGCTGCTGAGCTTTCTCAGATCTTCCCAGAGCCTAGAGGGGCCAAGAAATGAATGCTGTGGTCTCGTGAAACATGCTGACATAATGTTCAGAGTTTTTCCCGTTTTTCTGTTGAGTCCAGTGTATTGATTAGGTCTCTTCCTGTGGCATCAGCCATTCAGCTGAAGTGTTAAATCAAACAAGTGCAACAGGCTGCCGCTGCAGGCTGTGATGTAGAGGCTATTGTACTCGGGACCCCTTGAGGAGATAAGATGTAACATGAAAAAGAAGCTGCCTCGTTGAGAAGCTTCTCCAAAATTGTCTTTTTGACAGCACATAATTCAACGCTTGAAGAGGTAGGAGGCAAGTCATAGAACAGGAGACGCAGAAGACCTTAGTAAAGAATATCCCCGTAGCAACTTGTTGGCGGCTGAACTGTCTGCTCTCACTAACGTTTCTGGCACGGTTCATTTTGTGCAGGTGCTGGAGTGGGCACAAGAGAAGAGGAAGCTCAGCGTCCTGCATATCCACGGCGTGTACACAAACCCGAGCGGCATAGTGCTGCACCCGGCTGGGTACCAGAACGTGCTGCGCAACACGGAGGTCATGGTGAGGCACCTCGCTGGCTCTGTGCGCGGCACACTGGCAGAGATGGACCAGCTCGTTTTGCTTGTTCCTTTAGCTTCACTGGGTCAAAAAGCAAAGAACAATTTCCAGCCTGCCCCAACTTTTGTTTGCCAGAGCAATCACCTGCCTCTCGCTAAACCTCGTGATTGTTGCAGCTCCTCAGAACATGTGTTCACTGACTTGAGGTTACATATTTTAAGAACTCTGTATATACAAATCTTCCATTTCCCATTCCAGCCCCTCGCAAGCCTGTGTATAGACTGGGCAAAGATTCAGCTGAGCTTAAAACACGAGGTTAGAGACAGGCTTCACGCAGAGTAATCAGAATCCTGGATTTTCTTAAATAGAACAAAGGAGACAAATTCCTGAGCAACTTGCTCTAGCCAGTTAATCTGCAAAAACACCTCGCCATATTTCCATGTGGGCTGAGGGAATGGTGACACTCCTGAAGAGTCTCATAAATTAGAAGCCAAGTACTCTATGTTTTACCTTGTGAAGATACAACTTGCGTTTACTAAGAACATCGCTCTCTTTTTTTTTTTTTTTTTTTTGTTTAAAGCAAGAGATTCAGAAGCTGTATGAAAATAAGTCATTCCTGTTCTTGGGCTGTGGTTGGACTGTTGATGACACCACGTTTCAAGCCCTGTTTTTAGAAGCTGTGAAGCACAAGTCAGACCTGGAGCACTTTATGCTCGTGCGGCGAGGAGACGTGGATGAGTTCAAGAAGCTCCGTGAGAACATGCTGGACAAAGGGATTAAAGTGATTTCCTACGGAGATGAATACGCAGACTTGCCAGAATACTTCGAGAGGCTGACGACTGAGATCGCCATGCGGGGTCGGACAGGTACAGGGGCTGCAGACAGTGCTGGGTGACATCCTGTCACAGCAGCACAGTTCTTGACTGTCATTGTGCTGTCTGGAGTGCAGGCAGTGTAACCCCTTTTCTCTGTGCTGTATTACTCATTAAGATATTTTTTTTTTCCAAATTGTCTGCAACTGTAGTTGGATTTGGGGCTTACTTTCACACAATCACTGTTACGTTCATACAGTGAAACCACCTCTACTGCTTCCAACACATCCAGACTTAATTTTTGAGGTGTAGCTCATGTTTACTCCCTTTCTAGTGAAAGGAAAGAACGTTCCAGTCTTACAGCGTGGTCTCGGTGACTTGCATGCTGTGCAGACCAAGTTAATGCTTTAACATATGAGATCTCACTAATCATAAAAATCAGAAAAAAAAAAAAGGAAGTTTGCTAGCCAGGGCCTTGCTGGTGTGTGTTCTGAAAGTAAAACCCAGCCAGGAGAGCCTGTCACGCAAAACTACTCAGTGCTGCATTCAGATCCCTAGCACCGATCACTTCTGAAGTGCTCTCAGCACCTCTGCCTTCCCAGAGAAATACGGGCTCAACACCTGATGCTGTCACCCCTCCACCTGGTACTTACACTCTGCTCCATTTTAGGTGTGCTTAAGGAGGGACAGCAGCTGAATGGCTCCGCCGCTGCCCATGATGAGATAAAAGGTAAGATTTTTCCCCAGGCTCAGAGCGAGCAGCCCTGTCTGCAGCAGGGCGAGCTCCTGCACGGGAGCTGCGTGTTGGGGTACAGAGCTGGGCACTGCTGCCTGCCCTCCCAGCGCAGCAGCCACAGGTAGCTCGTCCTGCATGGCGCCCCCAGAGCCAGTCCCAGTGCACAGCTTTCAGAGAGGTCCCGCCTGCCCTACAGCATTTCCCTCTCCCTTTCTCACCACTCTGCCCAGCTGGAGCCTCCCTAGGTGCCAGGGGAGGCCAGTGTGCCTCACACAGGTTTCACAGAGCCTTTTGTTTCTGCACAGGATGCAGCACTTGAGCATTGGCCTTGCCCCAGGAGCAGTGCTGCAGAACCTCCCCAGCTCACAGACACCAATGTGGTGGATGGCAAATGGCGTTTATTGTCGAGTCCCATGGGGTTATATAGCCGAGGCCCAGAGCGTCACTTCAGCTTGCTTCCATCACAGGCCACACGCTACTGTCCATCAAGGGAGGGGCTCCACCTTTCCGTACAGCGCGACATCTTCCAGCCACCAGCCCCTAACTACCCACACATCAGGCACAAGACAGAGGGCTGGGCAGTTCCCTCACACCGTTGCCTGATTTAATGTAGTAATTGTGTTTTTTTAATCAAGGGTGCGTTTGCCTGGGGACTGTTTTCTCCCCACCTCAACTGCAGCCTCCTGTAATTTCATACTTAGTGCTTTTGTATTCTGTACTTTCACTTTAAAATGAAACTTGAGCTTTTTTTTTTTTTACTTGAAGCTCTAGTTTTCTAGTCCTTTCTTTATACTGTACAGTATTTTGTATGTTGAAGCTTGTATTAAAGACCTGTTCAGCTACCCCCTGCGGGCTGGTGTTTTGTTTGTGCTCAGACCTTTCACACAGCCTGCCCAGGACTTGGACTCCTGCAGGCTGAAGCCAGAGGCAGGAGTTGTCTCCCCCGTGAGGAGAAAGTTGTCCTTGCTGAAGGCAAGTTATATATACACAGAAAACAAATTCTGAAGTTTATTTATAAATTATGTCTCTTAGCAGACAGCATTCAATTTATTGCACTATAGCACATCTGCAAGACGGAGCTACATGACATTGTAAGAGAGTTTTGTATTATTCAGTGTAGCACTTTAGACCAGGATCAAGAGGCACTCTAAAGGGGGAGAAAGGGCGCAGGGAAGCAGCAAGCAGCCACCCTTGTCTTCCAGTATTTTTTTTCCTTTTGCTAGCATATTTGAGGCAGCAAATAACACTGAGGCCAGCAGGCAGAAGACACACAGGGGCACGTCGTCCTCTGGCTGGTAGGAGAACAAGTCAGATGATCAGACCAAGCTGCCACAGCTCCCCAGCTCCTGCCACAACATGCAGCACCTGGGTGCCCTGCAGCAGAATCCCACTGACAACAGAAATAGGGACCTTAAGGCAATTTAACATTCCCCCTCTAGCCCCTTGCTTGCCCAGCACAGGGGCAGGCCGTTGCAATTTTTGGTTTATCAACTTTGGTGAGCTGCCACAATCAAGCCAGCACTGTGAATGGTCAGATGTTCTAACGCTGTCACTCCACAGCAGCCATCCCTTTCTGCAGCCTGCGGGCCTGCTTGCCTGCCTCCAGCCTGACAAACAAGCCTGCATCATCCCTAAGCTGGTCTAGAAATCAGAAGCAGAGCTCACAGGCTCAGGAAACAGCATCAACAACCCCCCAGACAGCCCCCAGATGCTGCTAACAATTGGACAGCCCCCAAAGCACAGCAGGTCCTTGCATTGCCACTTGTACAGCACGAACAATACAAAGCTCTGGTTTCAGCCTCTGTAAGGGAGGCTGAGTGACTTAAACAGAATGAAGGGATCCGAGGAAAGGCTGTCACTGGGTGAAGCCCCGGCATTGACCAGGTACAAGTGCTCCAGCTGGAGAAGACAGCTTTTATCCAAAAATAAACTGTAGTCAATAAATATGGCAGGAGAGCACGGAGCTAACTGGAGTAAGCACAACGACCAGAAACACCACCACCCTAGTTTACAATCACGCAGCCAGTGGAAGGATTCACAGGCAGGCAGGGGAAGCACAGCTCTCGCGCCCGCATCCCTTCATTCTGTTTTGCACTACACTGGAAAGACTATAGTCGGTCACGGGGTAAAGCATGTTCTTCTGAGACATCTGCAAACAGCAATTTGGTGCAATCGTTGTTTTTAGGCCTTCATGAGTGCTGCGACCACAGCCTTGGCGTTAAGGCTACGCAGATCACAGTAGGTTTGTCCAGTACCAACAAAAACGATGGGCTTGCTTGTGATGTAGGTCATGGAGATCGCAGCGCCAACCTGCCAAGGACAAGCATCTTTAGCCAGGGCCAACTGAGGCTGGATTTCCAAAAAAGAAAAAAAAGCACCACTCCTCCTGCTTGTACAGAGCCTGCTACTCCAGAGAACTATTTCTAGTTCATCCAACACAATGACATGGAAGGAAAATGAGGACCCAAGAATGCAACAAAGATCAGAATTGCTGAGCCTGGATCTCTGGAATTTAGAAAACAGGCAGATGCAGAGCCAGTTGAGCCTGCTTTGTTCTTGGCTAACTGGCTGCTCCCTGTGGCGCAGGCCCCTTGCACTCTGGGGTCTGCTGCATCGGCAGGAGGCTGGGAGGGCAGGGGGTGTCACATACCGCAGAGCCAGGTACCGGTACCACCTACAGGCACAACTCGCCTCCCGCCAGGGTTTCTCCTTTTCTGGATTTCAGTCCTAATGCTGCACAAGCAGGTTCACCCTGCCACAAGGTTTTAGTGCTGTGACTCTGCATGGCATTTAATCCGGGGTCTGAAGGCCCGATTTGTGGTGCCCTTCCCTGCAGATCCCTCTGCTTGCTGCAGCTATTCCAGTGCTGCCTCCTCAGGGAACCACATCAAACAGCCTCCTATTTTCCAGATAAATACAGTCCCAACTCTGTATGACCTGCTGCAGGAATGCTAATGAACTGAGACACCTCGCAGCCATTTTTCCAGAGGCACAGAAGTCAGTATGCTTAATTTTGTTCAGATGATTGCAGTGCATCTACACGCAGAGAACTGCATCCAGGACAGCACAGAAACACCGTTTGTTGACTGCATCTCTCTTTCCTCCCGTCACCAACGGGTGCTCACACCAGCTCTGTACAAGGTTACACTTAAAAAGGAAATCCCGCCTGGGGCACGAAGCGGTCTCCTTACCTTGTCATCAATGGTGTCGAACTTGGTGAGCACGATTCCATCAATGAGCCGGGGTGTCTGGGCCATGGAGTGATCAGCCAGTGCCTTGTTAAACTTGACCTGAGGAAGAGAACATACCCAAGAAATACACTTGTGATGCTGACGCTGTCCACAACTCCTCCAACAAAACCTGCACACAGACACCTTCTGCTCCCATCCACCCTTCAGGAAAACTCTCGGCACTCACCAGCTGATCCACAGCCTCATTTCCCACCAGAGCTTCCCCAACAAACAGGACCAGGTCGGGAGCATTGACCGCAATCAGCTTTGCCAGAGCAGTCATCAGTGGGGCATTGTCCTGCATGCGGCCCGCCGTGTCCACCAGCACCACATCAAAGCCCTGGTTCCGAGCTGGGAAGACAGGGAGGCAGCATGAGCAGGAGGAAGCCCAGGGCCCCCAGGACAGCCCCTCCTGCTCCCAGCTTCCTCCTACCGTAAGAGATGGCCTCCATGGCGATCCCTGCCGCGTCCTTCCCATAGCCCTTCTCATAGAGCTGCACCATGGTCCGCCCGCCGTGGCTCTCCGGGGGGTGCAGGGCATTGAGGCGGCGGGTGTGCGTGCGGAGCTGCTCCACTGCTCCCGCACGGAAGGTGTCACACGCGGCGATGAGGACGCTGAAACCATTCTCGATGAGCCAGAACGAGATCTGCAGCCAGCAACAGAAAAGCCTTGTTAGCAGCTGTGGCCTGATCTCAGCAACCCCATCCCAGGGAGCCAGCAGGACTGTGCCCTACCTTGGCCAGGTTGGTGGACTTCCCGACACCGTTGACACCACAGAAAGTGACCACGTAGGGCCGGCGATGACGCTGCGCATCCATGACATCGCGGAGGACATCCACACGGCGCTGGGGCTGCAGGATCTGCACTAGAGCCTCCTGTAGGGCCTGCTTCACTGTTGAGGTCACCGCTGGGAAAAAGGAGATATAAAGAGAACCTGTCACACCTGGAAAGCAGTCCAGGGAAGCTCTGAGCCCCAACCCACAAGCATTAGGAGGCCAGGAGGACACCTGGGGGCTTCCAAAGTATCATGTATGGTTGCTTGGTTTAACAAAGATGGCAGGAGTCACAGGCCTCCCTCTTTTTCCAAAATAGCTGGGGTCCAGCCTATTTGCGCAGCTTGGATCTCCTGCACTTATTTGAGAGGAAACTGCAGCAGCTGCTGGGACGACCCAATTCTGTGTAGCACCAGGTTAGAGAAGCAGGAGTTTTAGGCCAGCAAGTCTCAGACACCAAAAGAGATGAGTGCAGTGCAGCCACTTACTGGTGAATGTTCCCATCACCTTCCCTTCCAGTTTCTTAGCCACTGATTCACAGAGCTGGACTGCAATCTCAGCTGCCACGTTTTTTGCTTTGGGAGAGAGAAGAGATCGGGGTTATTGGGGCTGAACAGGTGGCACATGCTTGGACATCAGCATCCCACCAAGCCTCGGCAGTTTGGTGGACCAAGGGAAGGCTGAGTGGCAGGATCAACCCCCCTCCAGATTAGACTGCTGTCCTCTTCTGCTGTTGACAACTCCCCCAGAGGCAAGGCAGGAACCTGCGACACTTCCTGTGAGCAACAACTCCCCAAACCGTGGGCCCTACCCAATCCTCTGGAGCCCGCCCTAAACACAGCACTCGGGAACCAGCTTGGCCTGCCTGATCCATCCAGTCGAACCCACATGCAGCAGACCCACACTTACCGATCAAATGGTCTTTCATCTTTTCCAGAACTGGGTCCATGTCCTCTCTTGTCAAGCTCTTGGAGCCCACCAGGCCTTTCAGCATGCCAAACATGCCTCCGAGGCCACCCTTCTTTGTGCTGCAGAGAAGCACAGTAGTTACCTCCAGGTGTGAATGGCACAGTGCATACAACTGCCAGCAGCAGGGAGGCACACGAGCCTGTCACGCAGCTGACAAATGCTCCACTGTTACTGGTTGGACTGGAAGATGAGTTATGGGAGGGAAATCAAGAAGCGTGTAGCAATCAGGGGCTGTAGGAGCTTCCTACCTGGGTTTTGAAGTGTTCTGAATAACCTTCTCCTCTTCAGCTTCTTCATCACTCTCATATTCAAGGTCATAGAGGCGGCCGGGCTCCCGATTTCGATCCCCTAGGGCCTGCAAGGGGAAGGCAGTGTACTGAGAAGCGGCAACTGCTTAACTTTGTCCTCTTGGCTTGCCTTCACTGTGACCAGGAGCAACGCCAATTACAGTCAGCAGCAGAAGCAAGTCCACACAGCTCCTCGTCAGAAGGGCTCAGCTGTCTGACCCAGTGTGCAGAAACTGGTGCTGCTTGCAGCGGTCACAGCAGGAGGAAGCATTCTCTAGACAGCTGCTTTACACGCAGAAGGCGGGGCACCGCGATCCCCTTTTCTAGCTCTCAGCCAGCTGTAGAGACCAAGCTGGGTTCGTGATGCCCAGCTGACTCAAGAACAATGCACTGAAGCAGACACCGTGACCTGACTTCTTACCACATCAGGGTCAAATTCCTCCACAGGACAGGCCTCTGAGTTCCCATTGGTAGTGGAGTCACTGTAATCGAGTACTTTGGCATTAGAGTTCCCCAGATCCCACACTCTGGGTTTCTTCCCCTTCTCCTTCTGAGTATCAGGCTTTGGAGACTTGCTAAAAC